TCAAGTTTCATCAGTAACAGAAAAATATTTATTGTAATACAATTAACTTTAACAAGACCAGAGAAAAGAAAGGATTTATAATCAACTGCTAAGCAACTTAAACTATACCCCTTCTAAACCTTAAATAAATAAACATCTCAATCACAATTAAGACAGACAAAAGAAAAATGACTTAACACATAACTATTGATTGGAAAATAAAATATACAGGGTAAGCAAAAGTCGAAAAATCAAAAATCCAGACCACTAGATGGAATGTTGTTTTTTCAAAGTCTCTTTAATTTTAACAATGATGACACACTGTTATCTGTATAACTGTTCTTAATTCAATGGCTGATCAGTTGAATCTACGACTTTTCTTCTGAAAATTCTTTACTTTAAGCTTTCTTTGTTTTCTATCCTTTCTTCACATGGAGAGAGAAAGAAAGAGAGAGAGGGAAGGATAGATGCAGAACTTGCAGGCTGTGGATGCTTTTCTCCTCTTCTGCTGTTAGCACTTAACAGATTTTTAACACTCTGCAGCTCACCCAATCAGAGTACCATTGGCAAGGAGAATTCTTAATTTGAAAGTTTCTTGGTCCCATCCAGTCACAAAATTTCCTTTTGTTGCTTCAAAATCAATACCTTATTGCACAGGTCAATAATATGTACAACAGTTTGATCTTCAAGTTGCAAAACTTTTCTGGTATTCCAGTGATTTTATAGTGCCAAAAAATTAAAATATGTAGTCGCTTAAAGTGTAGCAAATCTTTTGCATCATGAACCAGCAATCATGTAACTTGGAGCTCTACATTAATGCCTACGCAAAGGCTATAAAATGATTTTTTTATTCACTCATGAGATGTAGGGTAATATCTATTGCCCATCCCTCGCCATCCATGAGAAGGTGATGGTGAGCAGTCTTCTTGAACTGCTTTAATTCATATGGTATAGGTACACCCATAATGTCGTTTTGGAAGGAATTCCAGGATTTTGGCCCAGTAACTCTGAGGGGAACTTGAAGGTGGCGGTGTTCTCATGTCTTTGCTGCCTTTGTCCTTGTAGATGATAGCAGTTATGGGTTGTCTAAAGGGCCTTGGTGCATTTCTGCAGTGCATCTTTGTGAGATCTCATAGTTTCCAGTGAGAATCTGAGTCATGGAATGGTTTCAAGTGACCTTTATTTTCAGTACAGCTTCATTTCTCCAGAGCAATAACGCACACACAAAGCTTCAGAATGTCTTGACTTATACAGTTTAAACTTAGAGCGCACCCCCCTCCCCAACTTTGATTATCACTGGCCAGTGATGCTGAGTTAGCCTTTTGTAATTGGCTCTCTGGTGCAGCATCTTATAAAGTTCAAGCTTGTCTCAGCAATTTCAATGTATTTCCAATTAAGCTAATGATATCACTTAACAACTAAGATATGGACAGGCTTGTGGTCCACCCCAGATCCTTCATGATGTTTCCCAGACAGGCTTATCTGCCTTCTTGAATCTTGTCACAATGGATACTGTATTCACGTAACATTTGCCAGCTTCACCAATTTAACTGCCAATTAATTGGATACTTACCTATCAGTTCAGGACCTCTTAAATCCCTCATCACAGGAAAACAAAAGAATATTGATTTTTGATCTGTTCCAACAATGTTATTTGGTTACACCTGATGTTGGACAAGTTGTGTCTTATGTATTCATTCAATCCACATTCCAATGCCTGCTAATTTCTGTACTTATGATTCATTTCTCCCTGTAATGATAAGGAGATAAGGGGAACTGCTTTTACTCTCTGAAACTGATTTCAATCTTTTCCTCTAATGATCTTAGTATATTTGGGGCATATATAACTACATTAGAATGTATATCTATGACTATTTGAAGAATCCTAACTAAAACCTACTCTTAATATTGTAAGTGAATGATTAAATAATTCAAGAGAAACAACTAATTAGTGTGAAATGTTCTTAACTATGTCTTATGCATAAGCAGCTGCACATTCTGTCTCAACCAGTAACCTTGAGTCTACAAAGCTGCTATTGTTCTACTTGTGAAGCCTACATTAAGCAAATATTTTCCCAAGGTCTCTAACTACTGTCAGTCATGTTCTACTGCATTAACCATGGGCAGCCATCAGCCATTTTGTGCTGCTCAGTCATGGCATCCGTAACAATCTGCCTTTGACTCTTCCCTAAGTGAATCACAAAGAAGTCAAGCGAAAGTTGGATGCACGATGCAGAAAAGGTCCGCCAGAAATGCCAAAGCATCTGACCTGCGGAGAAGCAGCTGCAGCAATACTTAACTAACAAAAATGAACATTATAAAATGAGAATTACTACAACGAATAACACCATACCCTGCACCAGTGATGTCCCCAATGAACCCAACTAGCCAGTTGCCCAGGTGGGAGATGGGGTTGTTTTAGTTTGTCCATCTCTTTTTGGATATGTGGTGCTAAATCAGTGATTGCTTCGGAGTTGTCTGGGATATAAGTGCAGCATTTGGCTCCGATTAGGGCACAAGCGCCTCCCTTTTCGGAACCCGCTGATTCCCACTGCTCTTGGGGTCTTTCATGCGCATCCAATACACCCCTGCCCCTGCTGAGGACTGCCATGCCAGTCTTGCTGGATCATCTAAGGAGATATTCTGGTGAATTACCCATTCTGCCATTTCAGACATCTTAAAAGGGGTGAGTCTTAAGGGATGCCCTCTTTTAAGTGGGTGGGTAAGGGGGAGCGTATCTTACAACTGGAAACACTAGCTGATTAACAAATCACTCACTGTTTAACAAATGCCTGTTTGCAGCAGGGTTGTTCATATACTCAACTAATATTGTCTAAGCAAACTTACATTCAAGTGTACCTTGTTCTAGACTGGTAGGATTCAAAACTTTTGGAGAGTGATTGCCTGATTAGCTTTTACTTCTGGCGAATGGTTGGAATATGAGAGGTCTAATATTTCATAAATGCTGATAAGAATCTCTTCAGCACTACAGCTGACTGCTTTCTTGCTAAGGTTTCCTAAATGTGACAGATTAGGGAGAAATTCAGAAGACGCATAGCCATCAGTTATGTAATTGTAAATGATTCAATGCTTTTTTTTGTTTTCTCACTGCACTATTTCAATATTACTGAAAATTATTGCTTTCCTTTGATTAGCAAATCAATTTTTGATATGGTGAGCGAAATACTGGCTTGTACCAAAAATAGTTGCCAATGCAAAATGGTTGACAGAATTTGTACTATGAGTGACATAATCACAGTGTTCAGTCATAAAAAGAATATTGGCAACAAAGCTTGCAACTCGGCCTTTATGATTGCTGATTGTTATACAAAGTAATGGATATGAATAGGTTAATCTTTGATAAGTCGGAGTTTTGCCCAATGTGATGTATAATACAACCACTGGGTAAAACTTTAAAATCCTTGATTAAAAGTAGTCATTCTGAGCCAATGGTTTTGTCTATCCCGTATGGGTTGCCTGGCTTGACAGGTGATCATAGCAAACTCTTTAGGTAGCAGTGTCCATTTTAAAAGCATTTCTCGTATCTCAAAGTCAAATGATGAAAGCTGTATACTGATAGTTCATTGATGCCACAATAGGATATTCACTTGTGTCTTTTAGTTTATTCTCTCTTGAGATTTAGGTGTCACCGCTGAGACCAGCATTTCTTGCCTGTTCTAATTGGCCTCAAGAAGAGAAGATACCAAATCTGACAGGGTTGTAAATATCAAAACAATAAATTACTTAAAATTAATAAAATACAAGCAAAATACTGCGATGCTGGAAATTTGAAATAAAAAAAAAGTGCTGAAAAATACTCAGCTGCTCAATTGTTAGAAAAACCCACCTGGTTCACAAAAGCCCTTTAGGGAAGGAAACTGTCATCCTTACCTGGTCTGGCCAAATCCAGATCCACAGTAATGTGATTGACTCTTAAACTGCCCTCTGAGCAATTAGCAACGAGCAATAAATGCTGGCCTAGCTAGTGATGTCCTCATCCTGTGAATGAATAATAAAAAAAAAAGCCTCAGGAACTTTAAGTTTGAAATCCTCCAAGTGTCTGAACTACCTACATTTTCCACCATGAACTGTGCAACAACTTATTTCATGGTGAAGTACAAAGTATTTATTTAATACCTAGGCCAAATCTCCTGCCTCAATGAGTAAATCCCCTTTCTGCCCCCCGCCACCGTTCTCTTTACCATCCATTTACAATGCATATGCCTATAGCAAAATTTAGAATTTCCTTTTACGTTTGCTGCCAGTCTCATCTCATACTCTATCTTTGCATTTTCTAATCCTCTGTGAACCTACTATATTCACCCTGGTTCTCAATTGTATTATCCACCTGACATCTGTCATAAGCACATGTATTCACCTTCATCCAAATCTCAATAGATTTTATAATCCAGGGTGTTCCATATTTGTTTTCCCTACCTATCCCTTTATGGGAACCTATGTCGATTCCACTTGATTTTATCTTCCTTAAAGACAGCCCACCTTTCAGTTATAATTTTGCCTGCAAATCTTTGATTGCAACTTATCTGGGCCAGATCCATCAATATCCCATTGAAGCTGACTTTTTCCTACTAATAGTCTTATTTTGGATTTCTCCTGTACTTTTCCTTGGCAAATGTAAAATAATGTTGTTTACCTAAATTCAACAATCATTGTCCCCTAATTTTTTCCCCACTGATACTTGATCCATTTGGCTTATCTCTTTCTCAAGAACCCAGTCTGACTTCTTACACCCTTTTCTAGAAAGTTGGAGCATAACATTCTGTGTTTACTATACCTTAAAGTAATAAATATAAGGTAATTTATCTGGATTTTCTGTCTCATTTTAAAACATCACTTGGGATATCCATTTTGTTGAAAGATTTTTAAAATGTTACAAATAGAATAAGAGCAATATTGTCATTAAACTTTGTTGAGCTGTCTGTGTTTATCTAATAGCAGAGTATTTGCAATTTCTCATTACTTCTCATAATCCGGTTCTAACACTCCAATTTATATCGCAGCGCAAATTCCAATGAGGATTTAATAGAATTTGAAGAGGTCAAGTTCCACTTAGCAGCAAAAGAACAGGTGATCCAAAATTTACAAAGCCAGCTTCGAGAAGCCGTTTATCTACAACAACAATCAAAATATGAGGTTGGTTAAAGTTCAATTACATAATCTGTTAAATATTGTAACTTGTGTTGCTGTTTTGCATAAATGAAATGGAAGAACAACACCTCATTTTCCACTTGGGGACCCTGCAGCCCTTCGGACTCAATATCGAGTTCAATAATTTTAGTGTCTGAATTCTCCAATGTCCTAGCCCCCTACCCCACACACCAGGCCTTGTTATCACATAGTCTGCCATTACACACTACTTATTGTTAGCCACTGACAGTCTCTATTAACAACTGTTCACCCTCCTAGCCAAATCGTTATCAACTCCTTTGTCTGTCCAGCTGTTCCTCTCTTTCTGGACTCAACCCCACCTATCGTTTACTCCTTACCCTCTCCCCCTACTCTGTATTCTGCACATAAACCAACATTTTCCTAGCCACTATCAGTTCTGAGAAAGGGCCACTGGACCCGAAACATTAACTCTGATTCTTCTTCACAGATGCTGCCAGACCTGCTGAGCTTGTCCAGCAACTTCTGTTTTGTTCCTGATTTACAGCATCAGCAGTTCTTTCGGTTTTTATGAAATGCGAAGAATTTGTTTTATTGCATTACCTTTTTGTTAACACTTACAAATGTTTCTAGATCTTCATATTCTTGTATGGTAAGCTATCTTGGTCAGAACCTTAACAATTCAAAATACACTTTTGTCATCTTCAACAAGAACTGAAGCAACCAGCAATGTAGCAGTGAAACAATCATCTGCTATGCCATTTAATCACCCTAGTGTGAGAATAGTTTATTGAGGATATTAAACTTTTCTGTTTATTTCTTTGTATTCACTAGGCTTATGAGAATACATTTGCTTTGAACAAATTGCTCCCTGGCTTCCATTTGATGCTACTAGTGGTAACTTAAGTTAGCACTTAAAAACAGATAATGGACAACCCTCCTTTTATACATTACATGTTGATTCTTTACTGGGAGCCTTTCAAAAGTAATGATATTAGGAATTCAACAGGAACAGATATTACACTGCCATGTTCTTCCCTGTAATGCTAGGACCATGTTTCTGATCAGAGAAACATTTTCAATTGGGATCTGAAAGCATTAACATTCAGAGTTAACACGTACAGCGTTAATATCTGAAGTATGCAGAATGGGCAGATCATGATGTTGATTATTGATAAATGTAGACTTGACGTCAGTGGTGCCATGTTGAGGTTTAACACTCAAGCCAATGTTCTCTTAACCTCACACAGCTAAGTGTGTCTACAAAGCAGGAAGGAATCCTTTCATCACTCCTTTCAATTTTGTTCATCTGTGGAATGTGGGTGTCACTGACAAGACAGCATTTATTGCCTTCAACCAAATTCCCTTGAGAAGTTAGTGGTCAGCAGCTTTTTTGATCTTTGCAGTGCAGGTATTCTCACAGTGCTCTTACGTACGGACTTGCTGCTTTTTCATCCACCAATGATAAAGAAATGGTAAAATGATTTCAAATCAGGACCTTTTATGACTTGAATGAGAAAATGAAGGTGATTTGTCTGCCTGCTGCTCTTGTTCTTCTAGCCTTTAAAGGTCATGGATTTGGGAGGTGCTGGTGAAGAAGCCTTGGCAAGTTGCTGCAATGCATCTTTGATTGCTGCAACCATTGTGCAATTATCGTTGAGGAGATGTATGTTTAAAGTTGTGGATGGAGTATTTATACCTCTGTTAATGATTTGGATGATGGGGTAAATGGTGTTATGACCAGATTAAAGATAGGTAGGAAGGCAAGTTGTGAGGAGAATACAAAGAATTTGCAGAGGTTTATAGACAGTCTACTGAATAGGAAAAAACTTTGGCAGATGGAGTATAACAATGGGAAATGTCAGGTTGCCCACTTTCACAGGAAGAATAAAAGCATATTGTTTAAATTGAGAGAGACTGCAGAATACTGCAGAACAGAGGAATCTCTATTTCCTTGTATGTGAAGCACCAAAAATTAGTATGCAGGTACAACAAGTAATTAGGACAACAAATGTAATGGGGAGGTAATGGTCTAGTGGTATTATTGCTCGACCATTAAACCAGAGGTTCAGGTAATATTCTGCGGATCTGGGTTCAAATCCCAACATGGCACAATTAAGGGCCTACTGAATGCGATGACACCTTGTCGATTGTCGGAAAAATCTATCTGGTTCGCTAATGGCCTTTAGGGAAGGAAATCTGTCATCCTTACCTGGTCTGGCCTACATGTCACACCAGACCCACAGCAATGTGGTTGACTCTTAACTGCCTTCTGGACAATTAGGGATGGGCAATAAATGCTGGCCTAGCCAGTGATGCGCACATCTGATTCATTACAAATGGGGTGGGGTATAAAAGTGTTATAACTTTATGGGGGGATTATAGTGCATGGGTTTGGTCTCTATTTTCAAATATTTCAACTTAAGAAAACAAAAACAAAAAATAGCTCTGGCTTTCTTTATACCCTTTCCAGTATTCTTTATTGGTGATAAAGTTGTCAGTTGGTTAATTTGGCTCAGCTTGCGTTGTGTCGAGCTTTTGGTGGGATTTTCGCTACGAAGCTTTGAGTTCTCTTGTCACATCATACCAAATTTGCCTTAGTAACTACCTGCCAAGTTCCTGTGGTGTCTCTCACATTCAGTTTCTGCCCCCCCCACCACACATAGAAAAACTCGCCAATCATTGGATATCTGCAACCTTTGCACCACACAAACTTTGAAATCCCATGGTGCACTCAGACAAGCACCAAAAGTCCACAATCTCATTGCATGGTTATTGACATTTGCCCCAGATATAGCAGAGAGGGGAGATCTGCACTCCACTTTGTGGGCAGAATCAGGGAATTCCTACTGGACTGAATTTCATTGGAACAGGACTTCCTCCTTCCCCACAAGCTGCAGTGGAAGCCACAACACCAGACCATGCCATCCTAGTCCAGAGTTACCCCATGGAGCAATTTCAGCCATTTAGAGGAGTGCCTAGCATTGTAAGGTTATACACTTTGACAGGAAGAGTAGAGGAGCTGAATATTATTTAAATGGAGAGAAACTGAAGAAAACTGTAGAACAGAGGGATTTGTGAGTCCTTATTCACGAATCACAAAAAGCTAGCATCAAAGTTCAGTGGATAGTAGCGAAGGCAGATAGGATGTTGGCCTTTATTTCGAAGTGAGGGAGGAATAGGGTGGTTTTGCTTAAGCTATACAGAGCACTGTACAGATAACTGTTGAATACTGTGAACAATTTTGGGCCCCTTTTCCGAGGAAAGGGCATTGGAAGCAGTCCAGAGAAGATTCACTAGGTTTACCAGGTATGGAGGGACTGTTTTAGGAGGAGAGTTTGAGTAAATTGGGCATGTACTCATTGCAGTAAAGAAGGGTTAGAGATGACCTTATTGAAACATAGAAGATTCATAGACGACTTGACAGGGTAGATGCGGAAAGGTTGTTTCTCCTTTGGGAGAGTCTTGAACCAGGGGCATAATATCAGAAAAAGGGGTCGCACATTTAGGACAGATATGAGGAGGAATTTCTTTTTCCAGAGGACTGTGAATTTGTGGAATTATTTACCACAGAGGGCTGTTAAGGCTGGGCCATTAAGTATATTCAAGTCTGAGATAGACAGATTTTTTAAATTGCTAAAGCAATGATGGTTTCTGGGGAAAAGACAGGTAAGTGGAATTGAGGGTTATCAGATTGCCATAATCTTATTGAATAGTGGAGTAGTCCTGATGGTCTGAATGGCCTAGTTCCACTACTTTGTCTTATGGTCTTATGATGTGTGTCCTTGACAGCGTTACAGCAGCATTACAATGGCAGCTGCCTGTGCAGCCTGAGATACACCATTGAAGTACAGAAGCATTCTATAAGTGAATGAGAGATGTGCCATCAGGGTTCAGAGAGGCCGGCACATGTTGGTTCAATGTCTGTGGACATGGGGTGTGTGTGGCCTGTGTCCATGGTGCATGTCCTGAGATGTTGGTGCTCAGTTCTAAAGTGGAGATCATTTGGAGTAAGCAACATGCTGAATCTGTCGGGTGCTCGCTCTGGTTTCCTTATCAAGTTTTTCCCAACATCAAGCTTGTTTGGTGGGTTTGGTAAGATGGGAGGCTGAATTTTAATGAGGCAAGTTGGGCTGTTATCAAGGTGCTTAACAAACAGTAATCTCCCTTAATTGGCAATTTACCAGTGCACAGAAAAAGTCTCACCACACCACTTGTGAAAAGCATAAAAGTGTATTCTGCCTGCTATTGAGATGGACCTTACAGCTGTTGCCCAATTCTGCCACACGTCTCGCCAAAGCCCACGTTGGTCAGACCCATTATAAAATTCTGCCGTTATTTTTGTTTATGTTTTCTACAATGTAAAAATATCTGATTAACAGCATCCTTTTCGAAGTAACAATTTCACCTTGGTGTTTAAGTGAAGTTTATAAATTTTACTTTTGTTCAGAGTAGCTTCAGATTCCTCAGTGAGATTATTGCCTTAAGATTACTCTCATTTTTCATTATTCATTTTTCTTTCTTTCATTATACTGTCTTACTTTGGCCTAAACTTTACATGAAATCACTGCATCATAAACATCTCAATCTTTTAGAAATTATTCTGAATGTTTAGTTAGACACCTATATTATTTGACAATAGCTGAACAATCATTTAAGAACATTGAACAGTGCAGCACAGAAACAGGCCCTTCTGCCACCAAGACCGCGCACCACATGATGTCTTTCTAAACTAAAAATCTTTTGCCTCCATGCGGTCCTTATCCCTCTACTCTCTGCCTATTCATGTATCTGTCATGATGCCTCCTAAACATTGCTATTGCATCTGCCTCCACCACCTCCCCTGGCAGTGCATTCCAGGCACTTACCACTCTGTGTAAGTAATTTGCCAGGCACATCTGTTTTAAACTTTCCCCTTTTACCTTAAACCTTACATAATTTTGTAAACTTCTATCAGGTCATCCCTCATCCAACGTTCAAGACTAAACAAACCAAGTTTGGCCAATCTCTCCTCAAAACTAATATCT